ATGCTCGACGGGATGAAGCCGTGGAAATAGCTTGGGGAAACTGCGCTGGGAGGGAGCGAGACCGGATGCTCGCCGGGATGAAGCCGTGGAAATAGCTTGGGGAAACTGCGCTGGGAGGGAGCGAGACCGGATGCTCGACGGGATGAAGCCGTGGAAATAGCTTGGGGAAATTGCGGGCTGGGAGTAGCGAGAACCCGGATGCTGGACGGGATGAAGCCGTGGAAAATAGCTTGGGGAAACTTCGCTGGGAGTGAGCGAGACCGGATGCTCGACGGGATGAAGCCGTGGAAATAGCTTGGGGAAACTGCGCTGGGAGGGAGCGAGACCGGATGCTCGACGGGATGAAGCCGTGGAAATAGCTTGGGGAAATAGCTTGGGGAAACTTCGCTGGGAGGGAGCGCGACCGGATGCTCGACGGGATGAAGCCGTGGAAATAGCTTGGGGAAACTGCGCTGGGAGGGAGCGAGACCGGATGCTCGACGGGATGAAGCCGTGGAAATAGCTTGGGGAAATAGCTTGGGAAAACTTCGCTGGGAGGGAGCGAGACCGGATGCTCGACGGGATGAAGCCGTGGAAATAGCTTGGGGAAACTTCGCTGGGAGGGAGCGAGACCGGATGCTCGACGACGGGATGAAGCCGTGGAAATAGCTTGGGGAAATAGCTTGGGGAAATTGCGCTGGGAGGGAGCGAGACCGGATGCTGGACGGGATGAAGCCGTGGAAATAGCTTGGGGAAACTTCGCTGGGAAGGAGCGAGACTGGATGCTGGACGGGATGAAGCCGTGGAAATAGCTTGGGGAAACTTCGCTGGGAGGGAGCGAGACAGCATGCTGGACGGGACAAAACCGTGGAAAATAGCTTGCGGAGAGTTTCGCTGGGAGGGAGCGAGATAACATGCTTGACGGATAGGAAACCGTGGAAATAGCTTCGGGAAACTGCGCGGGGAGGGAGCGAGACAGCATGCTGGACGGGACAAAACCGTGGAAAATAGCTTGAAGAAACTGCGCTGGATGGGAGCGAGACAGCATGCTGGACGGAAAGCTGTGCTGGGAGGAAGCGCGACAGCATGCTGGACGGGACAAAACCGTGGAAATAGCTTGGGGAAACTTCGGTGGGAGGGAGCGAGACAGCATGCTGGACGGAGAAGAAAGCGTGCAAATAGCTTTCGGAAAGTTGCGCTTGAAGGGAGCGAGACAGCATGCTGGACGGGATGATGCCGTGGAAATAGCTTGAGGAAACTTCGCTGGGAGGGAGCAAGACAGCATGCTGCACGGAGACGAAAACTGTGGAAATAGCTTGCGGAGAGCTTTGCTGGGAGGAAGCGCGAGAGGATGAGACAGCATGCTGGACGGAGAGGAAACCGTGCAAATAGCTTGCGGGGAGCTTCGCTGGAAGGGAACGAGACAACTGGGCGGATGGGAAACCGTGGAAATAGTTTCGGAGAGCTTCGCTGGGAGGAAGCGAGATAGCATGCTGGACGGAGAGGAAACCGTCCAAATAGCTTGCGGAGAGCTTCGCTGGGAGGGAGCGAGACAGCATGCTGGACGGAGAGGAAACCGTGGAAATAGCTTGGGGAAAGCCCGCTGGGAGGGAGCGAGACAGCATGTTGGACGGAGAAGAAACCGTGCAAATAGGTTGCGGAGAGCTTCACTGGGAGGGAGGGAGACAGCATGCTGCACGGAGGAAAGTGTGAAAATAGCTTGCGGAGAGTTTCGCTGGGAGGGAGCGAGATAACATGCTGGACGGATAGGAAACCGTGGAAATAGCTTGCTGAGCTGGGAGGGAGCTTCGCTGGGAGGGAGCGAGACAGCATGCTGGACGGAGAGAAAACCGTGCAAATAGTTTGCGGAAAGCTTTGCTGGGAGGGAGCGAGACAGCATCCTGGACGGAGAGGAAACCGTGGAAATAGGTTAAGGAGAGCTTCGCTGGGAGGGAGTGAGACAGCATGCTGGACGGAGAGGAAACCGTGCAAATAGGTTGCGGAGAGCTTCGCCGGGAGGAAGCGAGATAGCATGCTGGACGGAGAGGAAACCGTGCAAATAGCTTGCGGAGAGCTTCGCTGGGCGGGAGCGAGACAACGTGCTGGACGGAGAGGAAACCGTGCAAATAGGTTGCGGAGAGCGTCGCTGGGAGGGAGGGAGACAGCATGCTGGATGGACAGGAAACCGTGGAAATAGCTAGCGGAGAGCTTCGCTGGAAGGGAGCGAGACAGCGTGCTGGACGGAGAGGAAACCGTGGAAATAGCTTGCGGAGAGCCTTGCTGGGGGGGAGCGAGACAGCATGCTGGACGGGACAAAACCGTGGAAATAGCTTGCGGAGAGCTTCGCTGGAGGGAGCGAGACAACATGCTGGACGGATAGGAAACCTTGAAAATAGTTTGCGGCAGAGCTGTTGGCACGGGTTTTTTCAGGACAAATGCCATCATTGCGATTGGCCTGAAAAAATTGTGGACCCAAGACTGGTCAAATGGTCCCAAGACCGGTCAAACGGTTTGCAAAGGCTGAAAAATGGGACATGCACAGAGAAGCTTTTACACAAAAAAAGCCTTTACACAGAAACTTTGACACACAGACGCGTTTACAGAGACACAGAGGAGTCTTGACACAGAAGCCTTTACGCACAGAAGCTTTTTTGCACAGAGTAGCTTTTACACAGAAGTCTTTACACAGAGAAGTCTTGAGACAGAGAAGCCTGTACACACAAAGGCTTTTACAGAGAGAAGCCTTTCGCACAAAGAAGTCTTGACACAGAGGAGCTTTTACGAGAGAAGTCCTTACACAAACGAGATTTACACGCAGAAGGTGTTACAGATAGACGTTCTTTCGGCGCACAGAAACTTTAACACAGAGCAGCTTGTACACACAGAAGCTTTTACACAAAAAAGCCTTTACACAGAGAAGTTTTTCACACAGGAGCTTTTGCACAAGAAAACTTTTACACAGGAAAGCTTTTACACACAGAAACTTTCACACACAGAAGCTTTGTACACAGAGAAGTCTTTGCACAGAGGAGCTTTTGCACACAGAATCTTGTACACACAGACGCTTTCACACACACACAGGAGGTTTTACAAACAGACAACTTTACGGCGCACAGATTTTTTACACAGAGCAGCTTTTACGCAGCGAAGCTTGTACACACAGGGGGCTTTTTTACACAGAAGCTTTTACATAAGGTTTTTTTAATACACAGAAGCTTTTACACACAGAAACCTTTACACACAGAAGCTTTTACACACAGAAACTTTTACACACAGAAGGTTTTACACACAGAAGCTTTTAACACAAAAAAACCTTTAAACAAAGGAGCTTTTACACACAGACGGGTTTACACAGAGAAGTCTTTACACACGGAGGCGTTTACACAGGAAAGAGTTTACACGGAAGCGTTTACACAGAGTAGTTTTTACACAGAGAAATCTTTACACAAAGAAGTCTTGACACAGAGAAGCTTGCACACACAGAGGCTTTTACACACAGAAGCCTTTTACACAGAGCGGCTTTTTCACAGAGGAGCTTTTACACAGAGGAACTTTTACACAGAGAAGCTTGTACACTCAGAGGCTTTGACACAGAGAAGTCTTTTACACAGAGAAGCTTTTGCACACAGAAGCTTTACACAAACAAAACCTTAACACAGAGGAGCTTTTACAGACAGAAGCTGGTACGCAAAGAAACTTTCGCAAACAGAAACTTTTACACACAGAGCGCGTTTTACACAGAAGATTTTACACACAAGAGCTTTTACACCAAAAACCTTTACACAGAGAAGTTCTTGCCCACAGAAGCTTTTACTTGCAGAAGCTTTTATGCAAAGAAGCTTTTGTACAGAGAAGTCTTTACCCATCTTTTATCATGTCTCATTTTTCATGCCCCCTAAGCCTGAGACCTGAGAAAATCAAGGTTCACCAAGTTGTTCCGACAAACTTGGGATCAAAGGTAAAAACCAGGTTTTATACTTATTGTGAAGTATGGTGAGTTCAACATGTTTCAACATAAACTATAAGATTAATTCAGCAAGGATCACATGCGTGCACACACACACAATTGCACACAGATCACCTCCAATCCCAACACAATCTTTTCTCGAGCTTCAGATTCTCTCCAACATTCCAGCTTTAGACCAAGCTGCAAAACTTGCGATCAACCACCTTTGTAATGTACGTTTGATTGTGAAAGCTGGCTTTGAACTAACATGGCGAGTCAGACGTGAAGCCTTTCCAATCAGATCTTCATCTAACTGTACGCCCCAAGTCATTGGATTCAGGGCCACTGGGGCCATCTCAGCTTCCCATGCCAGGTTTCTGAATATGTGGTCATTCATGTGAATTTTGCTGTTGTAAAGAAATAGGGCACGTCCTTCTCTTGAAGCTTGTGTGGCCAGTGCTTGGTAAATTTCCAGAAACTGCAGGCCATGCCCTGCTATCACTTTAGCTTCAGCAGCATCAATCCAAAGCGGTGCAAGATACATTTTTCGATAGCACAAGTCAATTTCCATAGCAGCTTGTGCCTAAGTGCAAAACTGTTGGATACATAAAAGGTATACACACACATACACACACAACTGCACAATATTTGGGATCCCCAACACCTACCTCCCACCACAAAAAGAACAATTTACATCTAGCACGTTGACCAAGTAACAGCTTTCTCCAACAAACTCCCTGGATGAAAGATGTTCCGTTTTGACTGCAAAAATGAAGCAACCCATTTCACCAGGGAAGTTGTAAAGTTTCCTTTTGTCCACGACCCATTGGGAAAGTCATTGGGAGACTTCACTCCAAACAGATTCTCCGTAAACTTGGTGCAATAACATTGGGTGTGAGCACGTTGACAGAAACTTCTGTATTCGTTGAACAGGGTGTCAAGTCTGATGTCCACGTTTCGTCCTGGTGTAATGTCCAAAAGTAACCTCATGATGTTACAGACAAAGTTGCGCCCTTCACCCAGGTGATGTCCATGCCAGGGGTCTGGGTGCAGGAACGATTCAGGAAAAGAGCGGTCATGACATAGATTCTTGAGGACGATGGGCTGTTCCACCCAAGGAGTTTCAACTCCAAGGGTGAACTGCCATTCGCAGTTTGGTGACAAGTCTTCAAACGGAATTCCTGGCTGTCCTGCCTGACACCAGTGGCAAATCCCTACACATGCTTTCTTTGCCTCAGATCTCTTTGGCTGGTTATAAAAGCTTCTGCGAAGACCACCAACCTTGTGAAGGAAAGGCCAATCGCCTTTGATTGAGATGATGGCCACATAGTAAGACAGGCCATCTGGTCCTGCAACACCCTTCTTTGTCAGATTACCGATGTCCCTTGTAATGAAGTCAACCATTGAGTGGAAAGCTTTATCAGTCTGGTCGTAGTAGAACTTCGGGAGTACGGACAACAGGAATCTTGTACAATGAGTTGCCCCAGTGTAATTCATTTGCTGCGTTTCCTGCATTGCTGCAAGATTCCTTTTTTTCCTCGTTTGAACTCCACGTCCTAAGACGCTGTGACAACTTATGCACAGCACACCTTGTCTTTTTTTGGATCTGCCCTCGTCCCCATGTAGCATCATAGGAAGTGTCCTCTCGAGGACAACCCCGCCAGTCTTCTCAAGCTCAAATATTTCATGGTTGGGCCTCAGGAGTCTGAACCTGTCCCAAAACAGCTGAAGCTGAGCAGGTGCCGACTTGTGGTCCTCAACCGCAGCAAGCGTTTTCCAATTTCCTGTTCGCCTAAGCATTCAAGAATGGCAGAAAACAAAAGAATATATATTCGTATTAACAAACAACCCATGAAATCCACACAAAATTGAAAGCTTTAAAGGTCTTGAAACTCTTGATTCCGAGGTACAATATGAGCTTGATCCAATCACTCAACAAGAGAACAGGGAATGACTGTCCAGTGCCACCAACACGAAGTTCAGTCAATGGAACCTCCAAGGCTAATCCCTGGTCAGCAACTGTTGCGTGAAACGCTGTCTCAGCATGACCTTCTGATTTGTTTGCTAGATTTCGCAGAGCTGGTGAAACTGAATGGCCAGCTTCCTGGACCACTGCCTTTGCAGTTCTCACCGATGCAGCACATGAAGCCTCAGCACACAGGATCATTGATCTTAACAAACTTGTCAGCAAGCCAAGTGTTTCTAGGCAAATGTACTTGCACAACATTGCACAGCTGTCAGGCTATGAGGACACACACGCACACTCTCTCTCTTCTTTTCCACCGATGTTTTTTGCATATGCCGAGTACGGACGGCCAGCATTTAGGTAAATCACTGTGACCCACCAGCAGCTCATATCTCTTCAGAGCGCTTTTCAAAAACACAAAGGCCAAAATATGCCAAGTAAATTTCTGGCACATTGCCAAAGTGGCCTATGGCCTCTCATCAGGAACCAAGCTACCTTCACGACCCCGAATTCTCCACCTTGGGGCTTCAAACCTCTCAGCAGCATTCAACTCACCATTGTCATCACCTTAAAAGGCGAGGGGAAAGGATTGTTGAGACATCATACAGATTCAAAACGGCGCTGCAGACAAAGACTGCCATAAAGTTGAAACCAAGAAACCTTCGTCATCAGCAGCTCTCGTGTGTCTCATCTCCTCAGGAGTCAACACATCAATCCAAACAATCACACACACACACCAAAAACCAAAACACATCCCCCCCACACACAGACACACGCACACACACACAGTGCACATGCGCCATGCATATGTCTTATCCTATAGTTCAGCTTAGGATCACGAACATAGCTGCGCTCAAGCTCTACCCAGTAGATCGGTTCTCCGGTCACAGGGTCTTGATCATCAGAAGCAGCTGGAATAGGCCAACCTGATTGAGGACATGTTGATGTTTAGAGGGGCGTGGTATGGAAATGAAAGAAGTAGCTAAAGTCTTGGGGGTGCAGGTTTCCCCCGCCTTTGTCTTGAAGCTCTCTGGCTGTCATGGCCCGAACTTCTCGGCGCAGAACTTCACGTCGATGGACTAGCATGTTGGCCCAGAGCCATTGATTCAACAATTCTATGAATCATGAATATATGGGATATACAGTAAGATATTATATTATATATAATATTATATATGATATATAGTGGGATTTTGATGGATATTATAAGAGCCATTAAGATTTCGATGGACAATACTGGCTGATAATTCAAACTCACATCACCTGACAATCCAGTTCATGCAATGCTGGCTGGCCTTCAGAGAGATCCAGCACACGCCTTCTGGCTGCAGTAGCTGCTGGTGGCAGGGTCGCTCTGGCATTTGGGGCCACAGTTTCACGGGGAGTCTCTGGTTCTGGCTCTACATCTCCATCAGCTAGATCCGTGTTTTCCACAGGATCATTGGACGACATGTCAAGTTCAAGTCAAACGTTTTGAGCCACATAAAACCTTCAAGATTCCCAGGTACCATCAGATCATGGGGTGATCATGAGACAATGCTGCAACTGATTGGTTCGCTCAAAATTTTGGACTGACTGGTTCTCTCAGGTTCCAACTCCCTCGCCAACATTGTGTGCAAGTTGCCTCAATGTCTGTCCGGGACCTGGCATGACTTGAGGAATCTTGAGGAGCAAAAGATCAAAATAAACCCAAACAAGTCCAACCACCATCTGGGCTGTGTATGAAACTTCAAGTGGTTTAAAGAGCTCCTTTTTTTTGTCCCGATAATTTTCAACCTCTGGGTCCTGACTGTGCAATTTCTATTGCACTACACGGCCATTGCTAATTCACGCAGCTGCGGTTCAACACACTATTTATTTTTGAATTGTGTTTTTGAAATGAGAACCCTTGACTGCCAGCAGCAACTTGCGTGGTTTTAGACCGACGGCCATACCATACAACGAAACGCACACACATACAAATGTGTGAAGGAATCAACTATCTTTCGACAGTATATCAAAACAGCTCACTTCTTTCTCCTCCTGGCGGGATCCTTTGCTTTCGAAGCTGCAGCTTTCTTTGGTTGACCCTGCATGTCAGGGGGCACTTGTTGAAAGAACATGGGACACTTGTGGTCAAAACAAGAAATATTTGAACATTTTTGATAGATTTGATAAATGTTTGAAATACAATCAGCCTTCGCTTTTGCAGTGGGCTCTGGCTCTGACTCTTTATCAGAGCGTGGAGCAGCTGATCTCTTTGGAACTGGGGTCGTGGTGCTGGCTTTCTTCCACGCAACCTTTGCATTCCTCGGCAAGGTCATGTGCAAAGTCTTCTTGCGGACTTCATGGAAGAGGCAGCTCGCTATACAAATCAAACAGATCCATGTACATCAGAGATTTGTAAGAGGCAATTGCGGTAAAACAAGTGTTGTTTCATGTTGTTGTTGCTAAGAAGAGTGCCGGACTTTTGTCTCCTGTGCCAGGGCAGCCGAGCACCTAGGCGCAGAAGGTATGGTGACCCAGACCATAATGCAGAACTATCATTTGTTAAGGGCAGTTGAGGCACACATAGGTCGATGCAGAGATCTGCTTCTCAATCTCCTCCTTCAGCCTTATTTCAAAGATTTTTAAAGCATGAAAAGCATCGATGCATCAGTGATTTCATATCATTTGAGACGTTCACCGACTGATTGTGGGCAAAACCTGATAAGACGAGATTCCCCCCGAATCCTTGTAGTTCACCTTTGGTCTTGAGCTGCACCAACTTGTCGTACTCAAGCTCCATGTGTGCACAGTTCTGTTCAAGCAGTTCTTTTGCCCTGCAGGAAATGGGAAGTTGTCAATCCCTTGCTTTGTCATGAGATGTCATGCACTGCCAATTGACTCCAAGGAACTTCAGAGCTCGAGCATCATCGAATTTGCTCTGCAACTCGCCAATCAGCTGGTGCAGCTTGCTGGTTTTGCCGAGCACTGATGCAATGAACTGGCTCATCTCCTTCTCCTCGGCAGATTCTAAAAAAAATGTTGATCATTTCTTGGCAAAACTGTTTGAGTGTTAAGGTCTGGCCTTGTCAGATCCAGCAGTATCACCTTGTCCAGGGTGCTCCATGTTTGGGAAATCCCCTGGAACTTCAGGGCCAGCCATCATGGTTTCACCATCCTGAGCTACAATGGTTTTGAATGTGAACTGCAAAGCAAAGCCACGCACGAGTGCAATTGCCAGGACAAACCAACGTGCAGAAGAAGCTTCAGCTGACAGAGAAGCTTGACGATTGGTCTCTTTCTCAGACTGGGTCTCCTGGTACCCCACCAATCCAGTAGTGCGGACTTCCACCCAAAACTCTTCAGAGTTGTCATAAGGGTTGCGCCTGCAGTACGGGCAAAACCGTTCAGGTTATAAACGCATCATAAGTTGCATGTATTTTTTCAATCCAAAGTGGGCCTGCCTGATCAGCTGCTGTGGATGGCGGCGACAAGCAGCGATAGCACCCTTCACTTTTTCCCTTAGATCAAGAGGTCAGAACGCAAAGATACTGTAGTGGAAATGAATAAGATTATATAATATTATATATAATTCTAAAAAAAATGTTTAGGTATATATGTCGACTATATATTTGTGTGTTTGTTGAAGTCTCCCAGTCAAGTGTCGGTTTCCATCCCAGCTCATCTTTCAGATCCGGCTCACTGTACCACCCCTTCGTAGTCTCAAGCTTTTTCTGGTTGCTGCGTTCATGCTGCACGGTCAACTCCCTGATGAAGGAATCCTAGCGATGCACATGTGCATGTTTAGAGTAATGGGCCAAGTATCACTGCATTTTCCAATTCTTAAAACAAACGAAATAACCCACTGGACTAGTCCTTGTTCCAACCATTGGCCTCTAACTTCTCCACCAATTCGTTTCTATTGGCAGGGTTCTTCCACATTGAGTGAAGCCACTCTGGGCAGTGAAGTTTTCCAGTAGGTTTGCGTTCACACAGCCTTCTGAGCCGTGCCTCTTTGGCAGCCTGTGTTTGGGGGACCGCCTGCAACACATGATGACTCCAACAACTTTAGAAAAAGGAAATTGAAGTGTGTTGAAAATTGTTGAGCAACATTGAACACCCTGGCCTGAGGCTCCACACCTCCACGAGGCGGTCGGGAGCCAGAGGGAGTAGCAGGAGTATTGGCATCAGCAGGGCCAGCCGGAGCGGATTCACCCTTAGCCCTCTTTGCTGGTGGCACTTCAGCAGTAACCCCTGGAGGATCCTTACGAGTTGATTCTTTTCTAAAATCTGGGGATTTCATTTTTCGAATCTCAGCATGGGCCATGTCCAGCGCCTTCTGCAACTCCGCCTGGATGAGAAAGTCTCACACTCCCAGTTCAGGGAATCAATTGAAACATGTTTTTCACCGCTCAAAACAATAAAGTATAAGTGGCCTGACGTTCTGCAGAAACAGCACGTTCTTCCTGTAGTGCACGATCAAGAGTAGCCTCAGAATCCATGCAGTAAAACTGTGACCATGATAGAGAACACACAGGTGAGTAAGATACCATACCATATAAACATCTAAACACTGTATGCTCTTATATCCTTCGAACTTCTACTGCTATTTACATTTAGATATCATTCAAGTGACATTCACATCATCGAATTGTGGTCTGGGGTCTCTACTGACTCTGCTGGAGACGGCTCCACATTCGGCACAGCGTTGTTCATGCCAGGTTCCTGAAAAGAAGCTGGGCATCGTGGCATGCCAAAGAGCTCGTTTGAAACTCAAGATGGACGCTTCAGACTGGACACACTTTAAAAAAAAAACAAGCATTTGGACAAATCAACATATGGGCTCCTCAGGAGCTGCACCCGTCTCCAAAAATTTAAGTAGACCAGCTTGTTCTCGAAGGTCCTGGCATTCAGGAATGTTTGCATGACAATAAATATAAAGATTTCAACCAATATGTCATGAAGAAGTGTTCAGTGACCTAGCCTTCAAACGGTTTTTCAACTCGTCATCAGTAGCATCATGCCATGGCTCTGCTTTCACATCAGACATGACTGCAGTAAGACCATCAGCCAGAGTATTGGCACTCCACTGACGTGAGGCCATCCTCATTGGCGGCTTGTTGGGCCCTTCGACTGACATGGTGGCAGATGTTGGAGGCACACGGCTTTCCTCCAGCAGGTTTGAGCCCTCACAAATCACAAGGGGATTGTTTCAAAGATGCTCTGACCATAGAGTTTTGATGCACATGCCTACCAAAGTGTGACATGTAAGACACCAATGACAGCTTGAGATGCAGTATTGGTTTCTTTTTATCCCCCAGATGCCTCCAGCAGTGAATGCACACTAGAAGCTCGCAATTGTTCCCCATTGGGAATTTTCTAAGCACCCCGCTGGGCTGTGAAACCCCATCCAAAAGTGATAAAGGGCCATGAAATTCTTCAAAATCTGAAAAGTGTGGTTTTTGCCAAAAACCTTAAAATAACCCTCAAAGTACGTAAAATCATTACGTAATTCTACGGGATTTTATGGGTTCTCTACGGGTATTTCCGGGTAGTCAATTTACGGGTAGGTCATATACGGGATATTTTACGGGCGTTTACAGGAGATACGGTACATTACGGGGTGATATTTCCATTGATTTTCTAGAATCATCAAAAATCAAAAAAAAAAACATCAAAAATGATTAAAAATGTATTCGTGAGCCAACCCCTGGGGAGCCCTGGAAATTCCAAATCATTGGTTTGGCCGAGAAGACCAGGTAGGTCCTTCACCCAGCAGGGAGTTGCTCCCTAGATGGCAGTTGGAATGATTCTGCGCACTTCTTGTGGCAGCTCCAGACCCACAGAGCCACGTAAGTAATGACAAACGGACTGGAGTTCAGCATCCTCCCAGACGTCAGTCCAGTCAATACGCTCCAAAGCATTGAGCATGTTGTACCAGTCAAAGTCCCAACGTTTTGTTGGTGGCTGAGCGTGCTCCTTCAGCATGCTCTCACGTAATTGAACAAGCTTCAGCCCAAATCGCATTGGATAATGCCTTGGGACCAGACAGGAATGGTTCAAGACACAAAGTATTACCATCTCTTCATTCCTCTATTTCATATGGGGGCTGAGCAAGTCCCAATATATGAATCAATTGTTTACGTTGTATCCTTTATATAAGGTTCAGTACAGCCACGGAGCACTAAGAGGAAATCACACATCCCTGAGAGCAGAGCACCAGCATTCAAGAACCAACACCAAACACTGCACTTGTCAGCTGAAAACCAGCAAACCACCTATAGACAACACAACACAAGAACCAGTAGCATGTTCACAAATTGTAGCAATGAACAGTAGCGAATGGCCACCAAAGCCATTCAGTGCAGCATTTACCCTGTTTTCTGACTTAGAGCACCAGAAAATACCAGAAATCATCCTCCGTGGTGGACCCTCGAAACCACAATTTGGGGTAGATCCAATAAATCCCATATTATGTACTGTTGGGAAAATCTTCCATTGATGATCTCCAGATATCTCCCATGTAAATTTTCAATTTCATGTTCACCCCTGTCCCAAAAAAGGATCGGGAAATCATCCCCAACATCCGACCAGGCGGAGAAAGGTGCCAAACTCCTATCCTAAGGACTGGCTGGGAAATGCGACATTTGGCATTGCAGTGTTTCTTGAAATCGTTAGTGATTACAATTGTTAATGCTTTCGTAGGTCACCCCATAAAGGAACAGATCAACTTCAAAGGGTATACCATAGTAATATCCCATAGCCCCAACTTCCACCTTAAGGCAGGTTTCTCAGTCCTTTTGAGGTGGCGGGTCCCATGAAACTTCCTTTTTCCATCCTTCCCGATGTAGCTGCGGCATGGTTTCTTTCCCTTGTTGTTCTCAGATTTCCACCCCCGTAGACTCCCAAGCGAGAGCTTTGAGATGTGGGGGGAGTTGGAAAATATCACATGCCTTTTAGGGCTTGATGAGCCGTAGTGCAACATCCACCAGGCCGCTTGGTAAACCTCAGATTCGTTGATCAAAAAACGTTACAAACAAATATTTGTTCCCTGTCTCCCCATATCTCCCCATCACTATTATATACTATATAATATTATATAGTATTATATTATATAATATAATATTATATAATATAATACAGTCACGAAACTCGGCTGACATTCATGATGTGTCGGAATCTCGGGTACCATCGAAGCATTGTTTGATAGGGCTGCTCCAGCATGTACACACAATTCGTCGCCAAAGCAAGTAGGCATAGCAATATTGTCCTTGGATTAACTCACGAAGCGAGGGTCCATTAAGGTGTACAACTGAAAAAGTTGTTCTTTACTCATTTTGTTGGGAAATGATGGAAATAAACCCATGTGCATGTGTATAATGATTAATAATGTAAGATGGAACCAAGCTTCCGTGCAGCCATACAATTGGCTTCCCGGACACTGGGCTGAGATAAATCTCCAGCTGGGCAGCATGGGGCACGTTTACTGGTCCCTCGATTCACCACGGACCAAGAGGAGCACTTCATACCAAGTAGTATGCAGCAGTCTCCAGCTCGCGCTCTGAGCATAGTCGATATGGCCAACCTTATTCATTGTATCAAGCTGGTGGTTTTGCATATATAATTTATTGAACAAATCATTGGGTTGAAAAATCTGTTACATACCAAGAAACGCCATCCCTCCATCTGACAAGATGTTGTAGTAGTTGTTGCCGTCTTCCCCATAGTACATGTAGTCAAGGCGGGCAGCACGCAGACCAGCCGATTTCATACACAGCGTAGCCCTAGCTTTCCCTGCGTAGAACTCTATGAATTGCAGGTCCTTCAGGGATATTAAAATGGTTTGACATAAGGGTTTGCTATGCCTGACACCCAACCAAGGCCAGATCACCCCAAGCCTCTTGAATATGGGAATGCGAGATATACGCCGTCAGGAGAACAGCCAAGATGAAGTCCTTGGAGATGGAGGCCGGAAAAAAACACCAGCATCTTAAGGTAATGGGTGCATCATGACATGAAAGATCATCAAAGGAAGAAGCATTAAAAATTATCAAAATTAGACTTTTGGGATATGTTGGGAATCTGTCATTAATACATATAACGGAAATTATTCGACATCAAATTCAATCAGAGTGTCGCCGGGGCAACACATGGACAAAAGATGGCATACGATGTTTGGAAGGGACTTCATGGCAAGCAGCGAAAAGCAGAACCCCTGAAAGACTAAACCCAAAATGCTTCAGATGCGGGAAGCTCAAGTTCTTTCTCAGTTCCGGCTGCACATGTAATGCAATCAGTTTCAAATGGTATCACCCCCAAGTACTCAGAACCCATGAGCCCCAAGACCGCATTGATTGGTTTGATTTGATCACTCTTCAATCTGGCCAGGTTGACGTGATTCATTACGAAGGAGTCCACGTTTTGCAGCCCAGGTCCGGCCCTTGATTTTGACCATAGAACATGGCCTCAGGTGCGGGCAGCAGGAGTTCAGATTTTAAAAACAAGAGCGAAAAGGTCAGGTGGAAAAGGCTCTTATTGAAGGCAAAACATGTAGGTCAACGAAATCATGGTCCAAAGGTTCAGAGCAGTTTGGAAGCACTCAGGACCATTTTCTTCCACGTTCGCTTTCAGATCTTTCAGTTGTGGCCACACGATGTCTCTGAAATTTCATTCAAGCTCATCAGCCATGAATCCCATTGAAATGTAAAGTGCAACCAAATCGGTCTGGTTGCCAAACCCCTGGAAGCAGCAGGTTCTGCCCACTGCGGTGAGTAAAGTCAGCAGGGCTAATTTATTTGGCAACACCGTTTTATCAAAGCAACGATGCAACAAAAATGGAAAGGGCTGTGCAATCAAAAGTATAATATACTAAGTTTTTCAGTTGTCAGTATGATTTAAACCCCATTGGTGGTAGGATGAAAAAAACATGAACACATTCTCACATAACGGTGGCTGCCTAAGAACCCGTGTGCCTAAAAGCACAACACGGCATCTCTCAAAGTCTCAGAGTTCTATGAAGCCAGTGGGCTCAGGTGGCCACTATGGCAACATCAGTCGACATCAGCAGCGCCGGTCTCAGCTTTGTACTCGGCAATTGCTGCCATGGCCGTTTGGCGAAACAGATCCAGGCCATCAAACGTAGACTGAGCAAAGGCATCAAAGTTCTCATCCTGTGACGCTTGATCATCAATCCACTCAGCCTTAGTTTTGCAGATCAGGGTTTGCTTGATATCTGTTCTTTTGATTTTGTTTACAAATCTATAAGGGATATCATAAGACAAGAAGCAGCTTCGACTGCACACTTCATGGCCAAGCCAACATTGCAAACATCCTTGATGTTGAAGGAAAAATTGAAGTATTCAAGGTTGGTACGCATTGGGTACTGCTTCTTTTTGGCCCTCAAACCAATGGATGGTCTGGACCTGGTAAAGTAGCATGAGAGCGTGGTGTGCTCGAAACTGCGGACTGGGAAATCACCACCGGTCAAACGTGTTTTCCCGGACTTCCACTGATGAATGATCTCACCCTTGAAGGATTTTTTCAACTCAACCATGGACTCATCAGTCGTGGGGGCATCAGGAGCACGGGACTGGGGAGTTGCCACCCTTCGTGGCCCACGTTTCTGGGGCTTTTTCACCGGCTCCGCACTCTCAGGTGCATCAGCGTGAGATTGATCAAGCTCCTCACGTGCAGCAGGACCTCTGGGGCTGGGAGCAGAGCTTGCTGACCTGGATGACTTTGTTCTCGACGCCTTAGACTTAGGCTTGGGAGATGCCTTAGACTTAGACTTGGGAGATGCCTTAGCCTTCGAGGTAGGCTTGGAGGTCGATGCCTTTGGCTTGGGAGGTGCGTCACCCTTGGCAACAGTGTCAACAGCATCATCATCATGAGCTTCCTTGGACTTTCGTGTTCTTTTTGGAGCTGTCTTTCCATCCCCAGCCTCATCACTTTCCTTAGCCTTTTTACCTGTCTTGCCCTTTCCTCTCCCCTTCCCTTTGGCCTTCTTCTGAGGCTCCTTCCCTTTGCCATTTGCTTTCTTAGCCCTTTTTCTGGATCCCTGTTTTGATGCCTCATCTTCACCCTCTACATCACCCTCATCTTCTCCATCCTCACACTCATTCTCCCCGTCACCCTTGTCGCCTTTCTTGCCCTTGGGCTTTCGAACCTTGAGCTGGTCACGGCGAGTCAGCACCTTAGATAGGATTGAGAAACACGGAACTTGTTCATCAGAAATTGGTAGAGGAGAAACGTCCCAATCAAACATATAAAATTGAAATTTGTCTCAAAAAGAAAATAGTCCGTCTTGGTTTTCACTATGGCACGGTGGATTCATCAGGCTTGGATGGTTCAAACTTTGGTACGGGTGGAAGCGTGCGAGGCTTCTTGACAGGTCTCTCACCGGAATCAGGGGTAGCAGGTTCACTGCCATGTGCAGGAGAATTGGCAATGCTTGGGGTATCTGGGACATCAACTGGCCCGGATGTGAAGACCAAAGGTGCAGCATCAGGCTTCGGTTCTGCAGGTAGGCATTCTTCATGGATACCCCAATCTTCCAGAAACAAGGGCAGGGTATCGCAGACATCAATGTCACCACTCACAGGCTGGGAATCGTCAACCACCATCACTCCTGCAGCAAAGCAGCAATACAAGACTGCACTGTAGAACAAGAATGTAACAACTACACAGTGAAGAATTTGTAGCATGGGAGTCAGATATGAGGGGAATGGTATTGGCTTGCATGTTGCTTTGAGCTGGTGCTACAGTATCCTCTTTCCACCTCACCCTCTAGCCTTCGTCTGCTACAGCTTTGTGGTGTCGGCGGCTTTCCTCCCGCCTGCCAAGAATGGTCAAAACATATGTCAAAACATGTCCTGTCAAAACATATGAAGAACATTTGCAAATTTAAAGCATTAATTTACGCTGACAAAAGTGTATAAGTGCATATGAAAGTTTAAGACATATGACATAAGCCTCTTGATTTCAGCAATGATGGCGTCCATCTCTGCATTGACGCGCGCGACAGAGTCATCTGCACCTGCGGCAAACAAAACCAATACATGTTTCATAGGAGGCCTACTATATATCAGTGATATTTGAAGTAATAAGAAACAATTCGACAGTCTCATTGGCGCCTGGGGATGACTTTGTTGAAGATGATGATGGCAAGTCTTCCGGTTTGAGATGCACAGCTTTCCGCAAAGCTGGGGTAGCCTCTGCGACCTCCCTCTCATCATGAGCAGGTGTAGGAGCATGTTCTTCACTCACTGATCGGGGGGACTGGTAATCATCTAAGCCCAATTGGTTGTCCGGCTGGTTTCGGTAGGGGTCAAGATCAGACATCTCAACCTCATCATCGCCATCCACCTCCGAAGCTTCACCATCAATCTCAGTGTCAGGGAAAGACTCTGGTCCATTCTCAATTGGTTCGATTTCATCATCATTTTCACCATCACACTCTTCCTCCCCATCCTCCTGGTCATCATCGTCCCCATTGTCCAATGCAGGATCTTCGCGGGCATCAAGTTCTCCAGGTTCTCCAGCGAAGTCAGCATCCTGGAAGATGGACATGACTGAAGGACTGACAAGATAATCATGGAGGGGTTCCACTGGATGAGTTTCAATACCAATTACCCACTGAAGATCATTGAAGGTTCTCACAATAAAAGAATGAAGAGCAGATAGCAACAAACCAACATTGAACACATATCAGGGAGCCACTTGATTCACGCCTCTTCATCCTCTTCATTCTCTTCATTGCCGGCTGACATTTCTCGCAGTACTTCATCGATGCGCTCCTGCACAGTGCCAGAGAAAACCCAAAGAGGAATGGAAAGAAAACCACATGTCTTTCTTAAGTGTCATTTGGCTTGAACAAACCACTGCATCCCTGCAGGCAAAGCACCTGCAACTCCGGGAAGTATGCCAAGAGGAGTGCGTGAAATCGTTGGTCCTGAGCGCGGGATTGATGCAGCCTAATCCAAATTCAAAGACTTTTTTTTGGCATCCCCAAAACTGAAAGACTTTGTATTGTCAAATTATATATTGCATATTATTGCATTACTCCCGATTCAAAAAAACATACAGTAGTGGGATTAAACTGAAGTACATTTAGCCAGGGTACTTTGGGAACCTCACCTCTGCGACCCTTTCGTTTCACGAAGCCACAGGCAGCTTTGATACCCCAACATTCCCGGTAGACATGTTCATCGGCTGGTTGCAGTCCGTTCCACTCGTAGAAGGTCTTCAATTGAGTTGTCAACGGCTTGACTTCGGGCAAAAGAAGTTCCCTAGGCGTCAGGCATGACAATAAATTTGATTGGTTTCAAAAATGGCAAATGTGCATCACAATAAAGGAAATCGAGATCTGTTGAATATGACATGAAGAATCAGCAACAACATGAGGGTCATACATATTGGAAATCATTGGGACCATCATTATCGTTTAATAATTAAGTCAAGGTGCTCCTGCGTCAACTGGAGCACAGGAAGAAGTGTAGCCACATTGCAACTGCATGATGCAACCGTTGGATGGAACGTAGGGCCATCAACATGTAGAACAGTTTGGTATTTCCGCAAATGCCCCCGGACATCCGGATCACTGTCCCACATTTGGGCAAGCTCAGCCAACATCATTTTGGGTTTCCTAGGCATTTTTCACCCTGGAAAAAATTGAGCCAAAATCCTCCCACATGACTCCAGGACTTTGCTGGTGCAACTTTGACCCACTGCCGCTGTGACAACTGAATCCAAGCCAGGTCAAAAAAGAGTTGGGGCCCGGACGCGAACACGTGGCAGCAAGCGAAGGGCAGGCTCCAAGGTTGGGACTCCCTTTAAACCATTTTGGGGCCATTCTTATCATCATATCATCATTTACACTGAGTTCTAACTATTTGATTCTTTGATTTCATTGTCACTGGTTTGTTTTGCCCAAATTTGAGCCGGCGCTGGATTTCAAACATATGTAACATATGTGAATATCAATATATTAAAATCATAGTATACTTGAAAGGTTCAAAAGAGGGTTATAGGCAAAACACAGGTTTGTACCATATCTTCAGGATATAACTTGACTTTATCATAGATACCTTGAAAAAACAAGGTTCCAAGATCAAGGGGTGATCATTTGCCATCTGTCACCTTCATATATATCTTCGTTTTCATGCTCTTTTGGTCAGCTCCCTCTGTCGTTTAATTTTCATTTCGTTCTGTCCGTCCACGCTTCGTGCTCGCTCCCTCTGCGGCGAAGCAAACTAAACGAGAACGCAGAAATAGATAGCGACTAGACAGATGGGATAGAGTTAATTACATTAACAGAAATAGCGACTAGAAGATTGTAGGCGTAGCTGACACAGCATGCTGTGGTGAATCGTGGCCCCTGATACCATCAGTGCGCACGACGTTTAAGTAAAGATCTTACGTCGATTTCGTGCAGAGCACAGCTGGCCACACCCCAAGATTTTCAAGAAAAGGCGTGCTGTGTGCCGTCTTGCTTTTGGGTTCTCTGGCCCACCTTGTTTCAGGATGAACGATGGAGGGGAATACCCCAATATGTAGAAATATATATATATATATATGTATATACACATGCTTCATATATATATATGAATGTGTGTGTGTCTGTTATATATATATAATATATATATATGCATTATATTATATGACAACCCCCAAAAACCGGGTGATTTTCAAGGTCAAACTGTTAGTTTGGGAAATGGTAGCCTATGACATATCCATTGAATGATTTGAATGTGGATAAATTTGCTGTATAAACGACCTCACTACGATGTACTGGAATGATGCTTAGTAGGGATGACTAATGATGTGTATTCCAAAATGGCCCTAATTTAGGTTTGTGAATATGAGATGCAAAGAGTATTCAGCAAACCTGGACTCCTGCTTCAATTGTCTGCAGACTTGCACGCACCAACCACAAAATCCATATATATCCATATATAACATTCTTAAGACCCCGTTATATTAATCCGCAATCCATAATATCCCAACTCTATCCGCATCATATCTCAATTGTATCACAATGTTTGATACCAATTAAAGTCTCAAACTCCAGATATCAGTGATTGCCTTGCAATTTCCCACTTCATGGTATCCAGATATCATCAGATATCACCATCCCCATCTTCCATCATCTTCCTACTGTGGATGGTTGCGAAATCCTGCATCACCAAAAGGATGGTTGAAACCCTATTAATACAGGGATGTTTACCACCTATCAAATGGTGATTCGGATTTCTCAACCATCATCTTCCTATCCGAGCCTTCGAAATCTCCAGGTCCAACTGCAAGAACTGAAGCAACAGCTCCGTCATCTGGCCCCAACGGCCGTGGGCGCCGGCAGCCCGATGGGCAGCCCCACCAGTCCCCGACCACTCACCCCGGCGACCACGCCGGTGAGCAACGCATAAGGCAACGGAAATCGCCACGAAAATTACAGATCCTACAGATTTCCTGCGAGAAATGGCAGATTTATCATAGTTTATCATAGTTTATCATAGTTCAGTTTATAGTTCAGTTTAGCTACAAATTGCTTGAAACTTGGCAACTTTGATGCCGCACAAATGATGCAAAGAGATCTGAAGATATATCTTATTCTGATGGCCCAAACGCTCATTTGTTCCATGTAATGTAGTGAACCCAAATCAGAACAACCCCGGCCCCAACACCCGTATTTACATGACCTTGGATGGGCCATGAGCATGATCTCCTTGTGAAAACGGGTGGCAAATGGATTACGCATCATTTGGGAATTTTATTGATTTACTAAATGATTCGTTAAATTCTATAATATCGCGATTATTATTTTTTGACTATATAGGAAGATTTGGATTTACATGGGCATACCAATTTTGATACAGTCGCTAGTGAATTTGGACTTTGACCTAGCTTTGGTTTCTGGCTCACCAAGCTCCTCGCTTTCCAGAGTTGCATTCTCCTGCTGTGGAAACCTGGGCTTTGCTGGAACATCATTGGATCTTGGGGCACCCAATTTTTTGAGACGAACCCGGACTTTGACCCATGAGCCAACACGTTTTTGATCAGATCTGGCCTTCAACTTTCCAGCTCCGGGAACCAAATTTTGTTCCACAGTGCCAGCCAATGCGATTCCAAGCGTCCACCAATGCCCGGCCAATTCAGAATTTGAAGCTTTAGCTGCGCAGATGCGTGCGTTGTGCATGTTTTCAGAAATGCCCAGGAGGGCCTGGAGGCAGACTGGAGCATATGGTGGTGAGTTCATGTGGATTGCCTGTCCATTCTTTGAGTCGAGTGGATGCTCTACTTTCCCAACCTTGGCCTTACCCTCCACTTGAAGATGGCTATGAGGGTGCGCATTTTCTCATCATTCAAAGATTGTAAAAATCCAGTAATTAGTCCAGGTACAACTTGGAACTTACCCACATGTGGCCGACATTCTCCATGCCTTCGCCTCCATCAGGTTTCAAGTTCCGAGCCGCGTTCCTTGCCTCCGCGGGTCGGCAGTTACATCGCACCGTCACGCGGAATTCGAGTGCTTTTTTTTTCGCGGTCAGGAGTGCAAAGGTAGGAAAACCATGGAAAAATGTATAGATCCACCATGAACCCGGCAGTTACGTTATATAGTGAAACCAGCTTTGCTAACCAAAGCTAGAAAAAGCTGATCCATAAACATCCAACTATTGGGCTCAACGTGAAGCAAAGATAGCAAAGTGGGAGATAATATGAGATGATGGGCAGAGCTGTGAGTGAAAACGGGTGCGTTCCATGATTCATTAAACCAGCCTCCCCCAACTTTGCAAAGCTTCCGCAAACCATAGGCTCCGATGAAAAACAATACTTTAGGGCATATAGAGAGTCTTTTGGTGGATGTGAGGAGCTAGACATTCTTTGTTGTGCTGGCCGTTATGCTGCTGCCCAACCTGTACTTCTGACGCATCGCGACATCCTTTTTGACGGTGCTTTGTGCAAATTTTGATCAGTTTTTGAACCCTCCAATAAAACGAAGCAACGGGAGGTGGCAAACCAGCCATGGCTGGGACAGTTTTCGTATGGAACATAGCTGAAAATCAGCAAGCGCAATCCCTTATCTGGGGGGATCAGATCAATTAAATTGGAGGGTCACAATGCAAATCCTTTCAGTTTCGCCGGACTACGGCATCCAAACACATGCAGAGAGCAAGAAATTGGCAGGGCTGCAAGAAATTCCTGCTGGGCTCCCTATGATTGTGGATGTGTCTCAAACCTTTGGGCTAATCTGGTAAACATGGTAAACCCAACTGCAAACCGTGCCCAATTCCACCATAAATTTCCAACCTTCCAAAATTGGAGGTTTATGACAGGATCACATGGCCGGGTCCCCTAGCCTATACCAAATTGCTTGAAGGATCTTGAAGGAAAAAACATGCGGACACCCCAAAAGAATTTGGTGAACACGGGATTTTCTCTGGCTTTCCGCCTGAGTTCAACCCAGAAATTCAGACATCTTCATAAATCTTCCTCATGGGTTGGTGTAATCATAAAGTCCCTATCGTTTTGACGCTTGGATCCAAATTATGTCTTATTAAACTGTATCATGA